TGTCTCAATAGAAAGAAGCTCATGTTTGGTTTGTGGGTACAATCAATCATTGGAAATGCACATGTTTTTTTTAGTGACATTTCTAGAATATAAGCTGAAAGTAAAATGATAGCTGCATGCACCGTTGTTGTTTTGTAGCAAAACGGTTCACTCAAAATGATATACAACTAGAATCTTAGGGCATGTTTGGTTTGGTTTTACAAAATAGTTTTTTGTTCTCAAAATTATAAAATCAAGGAGAAAGCTAATTGGTTTGTTTTTCGGTTCTCCAGTTTGCGGGAAAAGGTGGAAAGTAGAGAACAAAAAAAATAAAAACAAGCTGGGCTTGTTTTTAATGTGAAAACATGGAGACTAAAGCATTGTTCATTAAATCTCCTCATATAAAAGGCCTTTTTTTCCTCCAAGCCAGATGCTATTGTCTCCTTCAATAGCTCTCACTCACACACACACACACACACAACTGAAGAAGCACCTCCATCAAGTCAAAGCTTTAGCTCCAGCGACGGGAAACACCACAAATTAGCAGACGCCATCTCTCTTGCAACTCATCTGTCTCTCTCTGGCAGATCTATTTATATGCACAGATCCATGTATATATACAGATCTGAACTTAGGTCTCTGTGTGTGTATATATTGTGCGATGTGTGTGTACTGTGCGAGTGTGTGGGGGTGTGTGTATATGTGTCCTGTGTGTTTGCTGTGTGCAATGGCTGTGTTTGCTCTGTGTGTCTGGGTGTGAGAAGATAATGGAGAGAGAGAGAGAGATAGAAGGGAAAGACAGAGAGACAGGACTGGAGAGAGGAGCAGAAGTGATAAGATAAAAATTGGGGTGGGGCTTTTGTGGATGATTGTCCAAACATGTTTTATCATTTTCTGTTCTTTAAAAGTATTTTCAAAAATATATAATCAAACGGGTTGTGATATTACACTTTCTCAAAGCTCTTTCTAAAAATTGTTTTCAAATACTGTTTTTTGAGATGTGATTTAAACACACCTCTCATTTTTTATTCCATTTTCTGATTTTATCATGTATTATATATGCAGTGGATGGTGGATGAGGAACAACTCCATGTTATTCATTATACACTTGGCCCCCTTAAACCGTGGGATTGGTGGACATCTTGGCTTTTGAAACCCGTTGATGTCTGGCAGGTATCTGCTTTTAAATCCATAACCATGTTGTAAATGCAATTTGCTGCCTTCTGACTAAATTATCATATTTATTTTACTTCCATTTCTTCAGCCCTCCTTTTTTTGTTTTTCTTCTCTTTTTACATTTTTTTTTGTTTGACATTTGGATTTATGCTCCAAATTGATTTTTACAGTTGAGCAGGCTTAACAAGTCCACTACAATTATATGACTTACTATATGCTTGCTTATGTTGCAGAATGTTCGGGTACAGCTTGAGGACTCTCTCCCTGGAACTGGAGGGGGCAGAAATCCTAATGACGAACTTTTAGTTAAATTTCTTTTTGTGCTCCCCTTGTTTGTTCTGCTTTTCTGTTACTATCGGACTTTTCTTCAGGTTAGCGTTTTCAACATCAGGTCATTTATTGAACACCAGATACCTGTATTTTTTGGATATGAAAGCATTTTCATTGCTGTTGCAGACACGTTCTATGTGCGGCCATATTAGACACCTTTACTACAAATTCAGATCTGGTGGTGCTATTGCATACTCAGCAGTTTCTTCTGCTACCATTAATTCTAATCAGCAGGTTAATTTTCTCATCTTTTTCGTGTAAACAGGATGTTATTATTGCCTATTTTCCTTTGCTTCTATTAAATTGAATGGTCAATTTTTTTTTTCAATCCATGCTACGTCCATCTGCAAGTTCAGCCAATAGATACCGTTAGAACTACTCATGATGCTTTTTTTATGTGCAGTAATATAGTTGTACCACTGCCTCATTTGTTGTGGTATTTAACAGTTTTCAAATAGTGCGCAATCCAAGGTGCCTGTTTTTCTGGGAGGGATATCCATCTTTGTCTGTTTTATGGCTGCTGTGGTGTCCCTTGCACTTGCACTCTCAGTTGTCCCTCGGCAAGTAATGCCATGGACTGGTATGCTCTTGATGTACGAGTGGACATTCACCATTTTCTTCCTATTGTTTGGGTGTTACCTGCATTTGATCTATAAATGGGGAAAGCTGGTGGGAAATCAAGTAGGATCATCTTCTTCTCGCCCTGGAACTTTGGATTATGATTCCGGAAAAGGTTTGTTATCTTGAAGCACATAAAAAGTTTGATGTGCATGTCATCTCTTAATGGCACCAAAATAAATAATTTTTGCAGTGACAGGAAATAATATTTCATATTGACATTGTAGGTCATCAGCGTCATCTGTCTTGCGACGTTGCTACATGGTATTATGGGGTAGGGATGGCATTTCTGGCTATTGCTGCCCCTTCATTGCCTTGTGTTTTTGGCATCACTGCTCTGTTTTTAAGGTACTTTCCATACTAGATCTTTTATTTGGAATTGAGTGCTGAATTTGTGGTGGTTTTCAGTGTGCTAGTGAGAATAAAAAGCTGCAGTCTGCATTATTAGTTACTTTATAGTTATGATCAATATTTCAGCTCTAGTGGAAACATCGAATAGGTTTTCTACATACCATTGATGCAAATTATTTACTCTGGTTCCGGACTCATCCACACTCTCATCCACCGTATTCAAATCTTTTGCAGGATCCCCTTTATAAGTTTTTAGTAGTGCATGTTTCATCTCTCAACTTGTTTTTCAGTTATGCAATTTCTTAATTCTCATTGACGGGACTAAACTGGGTGCTATTTTTATCGCCTATTGATTGTCAAATGGGAAATTATTCTGCACTGCCACACATGGAGTCCAGTTATAAGAACAAATCTCTAGAAAGGTCATGAAATTCCTTTTAGCCAATACATTTAAAAAATTAAAGGATGCCAGACAGTGGATAATTCAGACTGCCAAATGAACCATCTTACTGATTAAGATTAGTTGAACTAACGAAAACTCCTTTCCTTGGTAACATTGTTGAATTCAAGTAGTTGGAATATTAACGCAAATATACCAGTCCCAAGTTGAACTTAAATTCTGGCACTAAGATTCAAACTGTGACCTTGCTCTTGACATTCCACCATTTAAAGTTTTGCTTCTTCTTTAAAGGGCTTCAAGCTTCTGTGGTTTCTCTTCAAAGATGCATGGATCTGGTGGTCTTTTTTTGAAAGCATTCAGGAGACCTATTCCTTTCATATCTTGTCTTTCATACAAACGTCAGGTTCATACTTGTTGGCTTGTTGTGGAAGTTCAATTTCATGATTGGTGGAACAAGGTTCTGTGTCTGTGATGTTTAAAAGTTTGTTCTTCCAAATTTAGGTTGTCTAGTCCCAACTACCTGGTTTTGTCTAGTTGGATTTGTCTTCTCCTGTTTTCTCTTCGTTGAGTCATGCTTACAGCAAATGTCCTTTCTAATGGCCACAATCTGTGTTTTAGAGTACTAGTTGTTGCCAACGTGCATTGCATGTATACCATTTTGCGTATAAAATGTTAAATATTAAAGTTGTTGATTACTTTTCTTCTTGCGAAATCCATAACTTCAATAAACATAAACAGTGGAATGACCAAGATTCATATTCTATTAGAACGCTTCTTCCCTTCAACAGAAAAAAAAATGCTAAAATAATAAATTGGACTTAAAAGGCAAACAATATGATAAAATATAAAATATAGCCAATATCTATTTATAGTTATTACGGACATTACTTTAGGGTCTTAATAAAATATTAGGATCATAAATTAACTACCACCATTACAACATATGGGCTAATTAGTGGCAAAACTATTGGTTTTATATGTGTAATCTATTTCAATAGGAAGGAAAACCTCCTATTGTATAAGAACTTTCTATGTTCTCCTTATTGAACATAATTGTCAAATTGTGTATCAGAAGACGTATCGTTTTTTAAAAATAGTGTATCTTCTCGTATTGTGTATCGTAAGATACACGCAATTTTAATTGTTAAATAATTATTAATAAAATATATGTATGTACCTTTGTAAAAAAGTTATAAACTTATAATAATATAGCATTTCATTAATATTTCACCGACTATTCAAGTTCTCAACATAGTTTAGTAATATCAAAATGCAAAGACCTCTAATTCAAACTTTTAGTACCAACTACTTGAACAACCTCAATATTAATCAGGAATTTTGAATTCAATCGAACAATATTAAAAGTGAATTTTTTTTTTTGTTAAACCATAACCATTGAAACGATGTTGTTTCACTAGCTATTGATTTAAAAATAAGTCTTAGGGTAAAACGATGTCATTTCAATCTTAAAAAAAAAAAAAAAAAAACAGAAACGCCATGTATCGGGCTCATTGTATCGTATGATACGGTGCAAAAATGATACAGAGACACAATAAGTATCGTTTTTCAGGTGTATCGTAACGTATCGTACGATACGTATCGCGTATCGTACTATACGAATAACTATGATGGCAGTAACTATTAACCTATTATATTTAATCATTTTAAAGATATAGAAAAATTTATGATTAATTTTGTATTATTAATTAAAGATAAAATTAAAAATTAATCAACACAAATATGTAAAAGGTAGTGTCCCTTTGTTTATATGTATTAACATGAATATCAACTAATGCATTCTTTACTCCTATGTATGATCAAAATATTGTGCAAAGTAAAATCAATGAGTTGTGTCACCATTTGTGTGATGTTTGAGAGAAAATACCCTGATCACCCCAAACGAAGGTGTGGTGAAAAAAGTTAAAGAAATAGAGATGAGTTTTGTAGTTGAATATGAGATAACAATACCACTTTAAGATTATTTTTGACTTGAAGATATCCATTGATTGCTCCTATTGAACACTCGATTAATGTGATAGAAGCACAATCTTCAATCAAAGCCTTTTTATATCCAAATCTTTACATTGAAAGAACAAAACCACACATTAAATATCAAATGAAGTAGATTAATTCTTAACCCTAAACTCAACACATAGCGTACATACAAACATAGAAAACTATTCTTAGAATAAAAAATATAAAATAAAATAAAATAAACAATGAAGTGTATACTTCAATTCAAAAACAATTTAGGGTACATACTTTTTTGTTATTGCTACTACATTTTTTGATTTCATTTGTGCTCTATATTAGATAATGCTCTTAGCAGTGCCTGCATAGATGAAGTCGGTCACATTTGAAATAAAAAAGCACCTTAGTTATATATTTGTATATACACAAAAAAGAAAAATCAGAATACAAACATGCATACATATAAGATAGATCATATTGTGCAAATGAAACTAGAGGATTTTAGAAGAGAGACCCATTCACCTTGTCTACCATCCTGTAGAGGAAGCCAAATATTAATGCTTGAATAGAAGGTCTCTAGTTAATATATAATACATTGATCATTGATGGAAAATAATTCATAGAGTCTATCGATTTGTGGTGTGAAAGAATAGGGAATATAAAGAGGTCTAGTTGGTTGGAAATTAATTCTTAGAATTTGAAGTGTGTATAAAGTGATTCAAGTTTAATTGATAATTGATCCATACATCAGTTAGAAATTTAGTCCCCAAATAAACAGGGTAAAAAACTTTAATTGATTATAATTACGCTAATTATTGGATTAGGGATTAAATGGACTTTGCAATAATAATCAAGGGCATATTTGAGAATCAAAAATTTTTCATATTAAAGTACTTTTATTAATACTATAGATATTTTTCACATTTTACCATTAGGGATAGTTTAGTCCTGTTAGAGCGTCTAACCTAAAACTAATTGGTTATAAGTGTAGAAGTCCCTTAAGCATATTAACCAACCTTGGGTGGTATTAATCATTTGACGTGGGATGCAAGCTCTATTTACACTTTCTCATGTGGGACTTGAGCTCTCACGTGGGGCTAACAAAAAAACATGCATATCATGTTCCATCGAGTTGTGGGCAATATGAATAGTACTCATGTTGTCACAATATGTAAGGTTAGGACGGGTAACCAGCGTAACTAGGTTATCTGTGGTAAAAGTCACTGCGCGATACTCAGCTTTAGTAGAAGAACAAACAACTACAGTTTGTTTTTTGATTTTCTACAAAATAAGAGAATGACCAAGAAAGAGACATAAATGAGTGGTGGACTTGTGATTAGAGTCAATAGTTCAGTCAGCATCTAAATAAGCTCTGAATTCCAAAGAAGAAAAAGAAAGAAATAGTTAACTCTGGTGTAGAGCACCTTGAAAAAAATGCAGCGAATAACAGCCTAGTGAATAGTGGTGGTTAGCATTAAACTAACTAACAACGTGAAAATTATAAAAGATGTCTGGGTGAGTAACTTTAAGATAGACCAATGCATACTTCGACTAATAGAGAAGATCACTATGAGGAGAAATAATTAGGTAGCGTGCGAATGTAATTAGTTAAGTCAACTTCCGGAGGGACTACTGCTTTTTCCCTAAAAAAACTTAGGACATTTGCTAATAGCGAAAGAGAATAGGTCTTCTATATAATGTGTCAGTGTTGTCAAATGCACACCCGCATATACGCGCACACACACACACACACATATGCAAATAAGGAAGAATTATTGGTCATTTGTTGTGTAGCCCCCAAGTTAAAGACCCAAACAGTTTGAGATATACTTGTAGGGCTCAAAATAAACGAACCTATTGATGGGAAGATCATGAGGATCATTAAGTTGCTCGATAGAGAGAAGCTTTTGCAACTGAGCAACAATCATAGTTAAAACTGGGAGTGGATGAGAGTGACTCATCCACGGGTGGTGCGACCTCTATTGCAGGAAGATCTTTTGGTTTAAATGACTAATTTTGTGATCCTCAGGTTCCTATTCTCTAATTTAGGGCACTAAGGCTTCCAGTGGCCCCTCTGTTGATAAAAATTATACTCATCCGAAATTGCTTGATTACGGTACTTGTTCGGTGAATTAAAAGTCACATTGGGTGGAGCAACAAAACAATATGAATGGGCAATGGAAAACCATTTTCAAAGAGTCTTAAGATGTACCTTCTCAGCCAAGAGTTCATTAACAACAGGATCAGATGAAGAAAGTGGGTGATAATGGAGAATGAAATCATGAAGTCCCTCTTTGAGTGTCATTAAGAATGTAACAACCTCTACTCCTCTCTATATTTATATGACATATCTCGTTATTCAATTCAGTAGGCTTAGTAAGAGCTAACTGATCCCTAAGTTATAATTGAGTAGAACTCGGGCTTGTTCCTATTATCTTGACGAATCTCATGCTCAAGTTGATACCTATTGGCAAAGTTGGACTGAACAAACAATGTGGCCAAATATTTTCAAATTTATTTTGTTGTGTTAAACTTAGCCAAATCAGCACCAATAGCGTGATCAATTAAGTTGTTAATCTAGATAATAATTTTTGCATATTGATGTCCCAATCATTTTCGATTCAACATAATTTTTTTACCTT